TTGTTAAGTAGGTTTTTATATTAATATCTGGAAACCGAAAGTAAAGATAAGTGAAAATGGTTTCGAGTTTGAGTAGCAGTAGTGTACTTCTGACGGAATAACTGTGGATTTTCCCAATGGCAAGAGCTAAAATTTTGTTTTCATTAGAAGGTTGCCTGCAACCTCCAAAATACATGCATATATGTATTAAACCATCGTGTTCGTTTTCGGATTGAAATCTCCCAAGTGGTAAACACAAGAGGCAGCCTCGCTGCTATATTGTTTTACAGGATAATGTAAACAAACAAAACATATGATTTTAGAATCAAAAAAGAAAAAAAGAGATCAACGTAAACTTAAACAAAATTAAATTATAAAAAACTAACAATGGAGAACTTAATATAAAAGTAAACAAGCTTGTTGATTGGTTAGTGATAAAGCAGATTGATCAGATATATGTAGATCTACATATTAGACACATTTTTGTGTATTAATTAATCCGTAATGTAGAAATTACCATTTATCGCTCTCTAAAAAACAGTTTGATAAATATTGATGAAATTTCAACTTTCAAATAAATGGCATGTTTTCGGCTTGTTTGTTATTTCCCACAAAATATTGATTGGTATAAACCAAAATTGCAAATCCCATTATATATAAAAAAAATGTGCATTAGCGTAAGATAAAAATAAATTAGATAAATAATTTGTAAATTTAGGATAAATTGCCTTCACTTGCGTTGCTTTCTTATTGTTTTATATACATCCAAAACCATATGGTTTGTCAATTATTTTAATTCCTATAAAGTTTTGTAAAAAGTCGGCAAAGTTAAAGTATTAATAACACTTCATTGTGTCGGCCCTCTGAATACCACGAAGGCATTCTCAAAGGTCGAAAACACAAAAAAAAACCTTTAGACATTCGTGTCTTGAACGTTTACACGGTTGCTTACGTAATAAATATAAAATGCGTGGACTTGTTCTTCCACTAGTTTTTAAGTGTTTTTTGTCTTGGACATTCATCCACATATATTTAATGATTATTCCCCGTGGCATGTTATTTTGTCAACTGTATTTTAAATTTAAAAGCTTTCTTATGGTTTCTTTGTGTTTTCGGTCATATCAACATGACGAAAATAGAGAATTCTGTCTATGCCGAATATATCCTTTATCTTCTTCATTTTTTTTGCTTTAGCAACAATGTTTTGCATTTGTTTTTGTTTTTCTTTTCAATTTGAAACTTAGCTAGTAAAGCACTGATTCGAAAAAAAGAGCTATTGCTGTAATTATGCTAAGATTATGTGGTTTTCTAAAAAGTTATGTGTTAAGTTCTTATAAGAACTCAGTACTAGAAACTGCTTGCTATTTGCGTAAGGGCAAAGGATTGTCGAAGAGATGCCTATCGCAAAAAGGGGTGTATGATGCATCTATTAGAGGTCCTGGTTCAATTAAAAAAGATGAGAGTGAAAAAATAACACCGTTAGGATGGTTTCTATTGGTAATTTTTGCAATTCATCTAAATGTAAATGATTTAAATATAAATACATCGGCTAGATGATACCAATAACAACTTTCGGTCTGGGTTGTTGGCAAGTTAAACGTAAATTATGGAAGGAGCAATTAATAAAAGATTTGAAGCATCTTACCGGAATACCACCAGTTGACTTACCTGAAGAGTAAATGGTTTTTGTTTTTGTTTTTGTTAAGAAGGGCAACAATTTGCTAAAATGTATTCCAGTCTAGATACTTTAAAGAATATGGAATATAGAGCTGTTAGAGTGCGGGGCACATTTTTGCATGATAAAGAGTTAATAATGGGCCCACGTAGTTTTGTACGTCCCGATGGTGCAGAAACGGCAGGAGGGTTATTTTCACAACGAGATGCCGGCAATGGCTATTGGGTTGTAACACCATTTCAGTTAGCCGATAGAGAGTAGGCATTTGCGCATTTACTCAATAAATTTAAACTAATATTATTATCTCGATAGTGATATAATTTTAATTAATCGTGGCTGGATTCCTCGCAAATATTTAAAACCCGAGTCACGCAAATCGGGGCAAATAAAGGGTGAGGTTGAACTTACTGGTGTAGTTCGTAAAGGGGAACAAAGGCCGCAATTTACGCCCGAACATAAAGGAGATGTGTTTCTTTACAGGTGCGATGTTTATTAAGATTCAGGCTTTTTTCTTCTGTTTATTTTAAAACTTTAATAATAATAGAGACTTGCCGAGAATGTGTCAACTGACTGGAGCGCAGCCAGTTTTATTAGACGCATCCTACCAGACAACCGTACCGGGCGGGCCCATCGGTGGTCAAACAAGAATTACACTACGCAACGATCATCTTTCTTATTTGATAACTTGGTACAGTTTATCGTTAGCTACCAGCTATCTATGGTATCGTATTATAATTAAAAGGAAACCATTTTAAAGCTTATAATCATTTCACTTAACAGATGACATTTTATTGTTTTCCACTTTATCATTATTCTACGTTTATTTACTTTGTAGATATGTAAAAATAGTCCTTCTCTTATGATGTTTTTTGTTCTTAATATTCCTTTTTTTTTGTTTTTTGTTTTTTGTTTTTTTTTTGCTTGAAATAATTCAAATTAAAGTCAGTAATATGCAATATAATACTTGTGTAAATTATTATTATTTCTCCTGCGTACCAGAAACAATAAATGCGTACATATGTATGTATTGAAACTAAGTATTGCCCCGTTATTTTTGCATTTAAGTAATCGTGATTTATCGTCTTATTTTATACTTTACATATATATATTTTGATATATAGGTCGGATAAAATACTCGTTTATTTACAATACACACAAAGAACAATGAAAAAAAAAAAAAATTAATAATCTTTAACAAAAGAAAAAAAAAAAAAAAAAAAACGAAGAAAGAGTATATACTTGTATTCAATACTGTGCAGCAGTTGTTTATCTTCCGCTATTCAATTAGCCGGAACGTATACAATAGAATAAATTGAATAATACGTAAACATTTGTGATTGTTTTGTGAATAAGAGCTTTGAATTTAAACATTAGTAAAGTTGTTTTTTGTGCCCCAAAGTGAAATTCTACAATTGAGGCACACTGCCCCAGGAACGCAATACGCCACTGCGATGATATTTTTTGCCTATAGTTTGCACGTGAAAACCCATTTGCTGCAAACGCTCATGGTCAAGAATCTTACGGCCGTCAAACACATAAGCTGGCTTCATCATAGACTGATAGATACGTTGATAGTTAAGAGTCTAAGAAGATGAAAAAAAGGAGGCAAAAAGGAAAGATGATCAATTTTTGTTTTATTTTTTTTCTTCGATTATTCGCGACTTACTATAAATTCATCCCATTCGGTACACAAGACAATAGCATGTGTTCCTCTGACAGCGCTATAGGGATCGCTGTGTATCTGTACGGCTTGTTTAACACTTTCAGGAGATTCTGTAACACAGGGATGTGTTAAGTCATCTATGATTTGTTCCGGCTCGACTTTAGGATCATAGATATCCAATTTGGCCCCCTCTTCCAATAAAGTTTTACATACTGTAATGGCAGCTGTTTCACGAGTATCACCCGTATTTTTCTTAAAAGCAAACCCCAAAATGCAGATGTGCTTATTGGAGACCGTATTGAAAAGACTTTCGATAATCTGAAACAGTCAAATGAAACTATAAATCGATTTATGTTATAACGATGAATTATTATACCTTCTGCGAGAATCTGTTTTTCTGATATTCGTTCATATCAATGACTTGCTGCCAATATGCTGCCACTTCTGGTAAGTTTAGTCCTTCACATATATATACCAGATTGAGTATGTCTTTTTGAAAACAGCTTCCCCCAAATCCAACAGACGCTTCTAAAAACTTTGAGCCAATACGTGTGTCTAAGCCAACCGCCCGCGCCACCTCAGATACATCGGCTCCCGTTGCTTCGCACACTGCCGATAATGAATTAATACTCGAAATGCGTTGAGCGAGAAAAGCGTTAGCAGCTAATTTTGATAGTTCGGAACTCCACGTATTCGTGGTAAGTATATTCTCTTTAGGTATCCAATGTTGATATATCCACGAAAGTTTATCTATAGCTTTAGAACCGTCTCTGGTCTCCTCGCCACCGATAAGTACACGGTCTGCGTGCAAAAGATCTTCAATCGCAGTACCTTCAGCCAAAAATTCCGGATTCGAAAGGATATCATAACGTATGCCAGGTTTTTGATTCGCATGTAGTATATGCATAATGCTTTCGGCCGCTCGCACTGGTACAGTACTTTTTTCAACCACTATCTTATTAGATTGGGCTATATCAGCAATCATGCGAGCAGCACCTTCTACATATTTCAAATCGGCAGCACGACCTACAAATTCAAAAACAAAAAAAAAAAAAAAACAAAAAAAACAAGGTAAATAACGATAATAAGATATTTGAAAAACGGATAATTTGTATAATGTTACCTTTGCCATTACCAAAGGTTTTTGTAGGCGTATTGACTGATATGAATATTAACTCCGCCTCTTTAATAGCAGTTTCAATATCCGTTGAAAAGAATAAGTTTACATTACGACATTTTTTAACGACCTCATCTAGTCCGGGCTGTTTATGAAGAAAAATTCGAATGCAATCAAACAAAGAATGATATGTTTCTTAATAATGACAATATGTCTATTGCATAATAAAATGCGCTTATATCCCATTTTACAATTTTGAATCGCGCTATATATATAAAAATGCAAATACAAAACCTACTAATAATTGCTTCGATCATTTTGACAGTGAAAGTGATGATTAGCACAAGTTGGAGAAAATAAAAGTTTCGAGTCCTCCGGTGAAGTTCGAAATGTGTAAATGTGCATATTAATAATAAACTGTACCATTATCAATCGAACCTATGCAAATACATGTAATATTGTATGTAGCAAAGGCGCTGCTTGTTACATATAGAAATATGCGACGTTCACATTATGCATATCTCTATCTACTGAAATTTTCATAGATAACCTCATCATTTCCTTCATCAGTTAAAGATCAATTAAATCGACCGAACCTCTGAAGATGCGAAACCATTGAGTGCTGCTTATAATAATCTTCCCAATGCTGTTCAACTCTATGAAGCGTCTTATATTATGCTTCAATGATGTTTTCTTTTAGCAACAATTAACAAATAACTGACTTTTTATTCATAAAGTTATACAAGTTATATAACAATTATAAACAGTGATCCCCCCCATAAACGTTCAGTCGCCTCATCGATACCATAAAGCATTAAATAAATTATTTTTATTTTAATTTTTGGTCCATTATCGATATTGCTTTGGGACTTATTCGCAAAGTGGACGAGGATTTGTTTTAAGTAAACGTTTAACAATTTAATTTTGCGAATGAATATGTGTCAGAAAAAGAGACCCGATCAGATGGATATCGGATTGGGTACAGTGTATGCCTCACTTTTTTATAGACCCGTTCAATTAAACATATTCGGGAGCTATAAAATTAGTATCATGTCATCTTGTAGCGGCACGTGTTATAAATTTATTTAAATTATTTATTTCTTAAATGGAAATCTAAAATCTTATTGCTAAAGTATTTAATTTTAAAATGGAAACAAAAAAAAGCTTTTAACAATCTTATCTACTACACTATACGTACCTATTAGAGATACGTGTACATCTGGCTATACATTTACGTATATACACCGTTAACCTTGTAATATTTAATAGCACAGCATATTTTATACCATTCAGTTATTTAATTAATTATGCATTTATTAAATTTACTATCAAGTAAATTGTTAAAGAGAAAACCTTTTTTAAAAAAGTACTGATGTCGTTAATTGGTTGATTGTTTGTCAATCTTTATTAATAATTGATTGCGTTGATTGGTTTTTTTTATCGCTAACATTCGATTAAAGACATACCTTGAGATTGGCATAGTATGTGCAATTTGTCGATATTGTAGGAACAGTTTCGTGAAACATACGCGGTCAATTGTGAAATGACCTCTAGTCCAATGTCGCGAAGGTGGAACAGAATGTATTCATTCGCGATTGAGTGAATGAATACAAATTGAAAAGTTACGTGGATTTGCCCTTCACCTTCTCATTCCATCAATGGCGAACAAATTAATCCTAACGGCATTCAAGGCGAAAACGAATCGTTTCATTTTGGCTTTCAAAGCACGCCCGAAATGGATAAAACCTTTTGATTTATCATATTTAACATTTCAATGGCTTTTCTTCTCTAAAGTTCATTTATATATTTAAATAGTACTAGTTTTTAGCGTACTATCTGGATCTATAAACAAATCTGCACCACAAAACTCTCGACTCGAGTTAATAGCCTCCGTTTGGCATCTGATTTTAACTGTCATGATCGCAAGAATTCACATACCACAATTTTAGTAGACCTTCTGCTAAAATCTTTATTTTTTAAAACGGAGAACACGCGTCCTACAACAAAATAAATTAAGTTATTAAAAAAGTAAAGACCCTAAAATAAAGCAAGCTAAAATTACAAAAAGTTGGAATTTTCAACAGGCATCAATCTGGGAGGATCATGCAGTATATGTGGCCAAAGTTCGACGATTTTTATATGCTTTGCCAGGTGAATATCCAAAATTCATTTTATAGGAACATGATTTTTCCTTTGTTGTTATTTGCAGTATTTCAAAGGAGTTTTGCTTCGGGTGTTTGACATTTGAATTATGTTACAAATAAAAAAATAACAACTTATGTGTTTTAAAATTTTATTTCCATTAATTTTTATTTTCATTTTAGGGGTCTTTACTTTCTCCTATGCGTTTGTGTGCATGCATACAATATTCTTTTGAATGCAATGTAAGTGAAACCATTAACTTGTTCCTGTCAGAAAACAAGTAATCTATACGTGTGCAATTAATAGTATGTTCGCAACATATGTAAGCGGAAGTTGAAATATGAGATAGCCTGCGCCTATCAGCTCGTACGTTTTCACTAAGAATATACTATATGCTAACAAGCAATACGTTTGTAGTAAGCACTAGTAACATAAATGAAATGTAGCAAAAATAAATATAAAAAATGTAGTGATTCTTTTTTTGGTTTGGTTGGTTAACTTGGTATCGCTTAACAGGCTTAAATTACATTGACCTTGCGCAACACTACATAGTTAGCATACGCGTTGTCATCTTCTATACATTCACACGGCGTACATTTCCGTGCATATGTTGGTCTAAATGCAAATCAATAAGACGGAGGGGTGTGCTTATCGAAGTTTTCTTTAATGAATAATACTCCATGACCAACGCGAGCTGTTCAATGCTTTGATTTTTCGTATAGATATATTACATATATATATGTATATTGTTTTTATATATAACAAGAAAATAAAGAATCAATCAAAGTATTCCATCCTATCTATACATGTTAGAAGGAATTCCCCATGGAAACTGTTTTTTTTTTTTTTGGTTTTCATGTTTTCTTACATTAACTGCAGGTGCTGGTTTCTTGTACATTGTTACGTTTTCATGCAAATTCATATGTAGACTTGTTTTCTTTACTCACTTCGTAAATTGGGAGTTTGTCGGAATTCCATTGTGCTATACGTTCTGAGCTCTGATCTACTACTGTCACCGTAATGTCAGGACACTTGAGTGCCATTACAGAGCATGTAGGTCCACCCACATAACCAGCTCCAATACAACAAACCCTCTTCACAGTATTCATAATTTCGGTTTCTTATTACTTAAAAATTGCCCTTTTTCTTATTACACAATTTAGTGTTTTTTAGAAAACAGGAAATAGGTTTAACAACATGCGCTTGCCGAACGCGAAAATGATGTATTGTTGCCAGTATATTTCTTTTTACTATTAAACTAATAGATATAAATTTTGCCAATTGAATTTAACCGTGATAAGTACTCTTACTCTTTTTACTTTTGCACCATAATAACTAAAACGTCTTCTTAATAAATTGTTTTTGAAAATATAACGCAACTGAATTCTTAAGAATACAATAACAATACAAAAAAATTGATGTGTGCTCACTTTACAGCCAATTCTCCAACTCTCTCTCTTTCTCTTTCTCTCTCTCTCTCTCTCTCTCTCTCTCTCTCTCAAAACAATGTCTATATGAAATCTCTGTTAAAATCAGTGTTGCTGTATTGTTAGGAATTGGGAAAATTACTGCAATCTTGAAAAGTTTCATTATTTGCAGATCGAATTTGGGTTGGCAGTACTGTTTTTAAAGGCAATTTCATTTATTGTACAAGAAATTTATAAGTGAAACTATTTTTTTTAAAAATATATATGCTGATATTGTTAATTTCGATTTTTTCGATAGGGTCGAGATCACAAATTGCTTATATATAAATGGTACGGGTTTCCCATCATTTATCGTATTCTGCAGGGAAGCTATTTGGGGTAGAATAATTTTTAATTTATTCATTAATTATTTATTATTTATATTTACTATTCTGTTAATGATTTATTTATTTTAACACATTTGATAATGCCAACACTTTCTATTCAGACCTAATTGAATTATATGCTGGGTTTAAATAAAATAACCGCTTCCGTAATCTAAAAAAAAAAAAACTTTACCCACAATTGCGATCGTGTTACGAGCTTCTTGAATTTGGCAGATATAATCGATTTTAAATTGAAATTGAATTTGCAGGCGGGTTAGTAAAGACTATGCTGAAAATAAAGTTAAAAGGGTTTATTAAGTGTTCGTTACGCTGTGGCGTTAGGTCTATCCCAACTCAATACAGCTACAACATTTTGCAACAAAATTATGAATAGGTGCACGTTTTGCCCCGTTTTCATTAAACAAGGTACATATTCACACTTTGGCAAGATCAACTCGTAATTTGCCTTACAAAACTTCATTGCAATGTTTAAAGGTAAACAAAAGTCCGAACAAGAGAATCGCTCATGCGCAATCAATATTTCGTATTTTCCATAATTTTATGATTGAAATGACGTAAGATTCCGGGCGACAATTCATTGAAAAGTTTCATTTCATTGCAACAATCCTTAAGCCCGATCAAAATGCGGAACAAGAGTCATAAGTAACTTTTCATATTTTTTATATATATATATATATATATATATATTTTGTTTTTATTAATATTTATATATTAATATTTGAATATTCTGAGTAACATGTAACAACAGTAATTAATGGCAACACTTTACAATTTAAATAAGAAATATCATTCGATTTGGCTTCGTTAAGGGAATCGAAATCCGCCACAAGATCTTCATCTCACATTATCTTGACGTTATGTTTAGTATTTCAAGTTTTTCTAATATTGTAACGTATTTTATTGATATAAAAAAATATAATTTATTTATTCTTTCAAGCAAATTTCTATTGAAGAAATACGGTTTTAAAATTAAGCACAGACCAATCGTATGTTTCCCCATTGGTATTTACATAAAATAATCGCCACCAAAATTAGGTGGTTGTAAATGGTCTGGATTCGGATTTGGGCGAAGGTTTCGTTCGGGTTGTGGTCCGTAGGGATCGAAACGTGGTTGCATGCCGCCACTGCTTCCAGGGCCGACGCGGAATTCGGGGTGCGAAGGGAAGGGAAATAAATTACCATGACCTCCACGTCCTAAGGGATCTAAATCGCCTCGACCCACTTCCGGGAATCCGAATGGTCGCGGCTCCACTCCAACTGGATGATATTGTCTGAGTTCATATTTTAAAGAAAGAGATGAGGAAATGGTCGAGAATACCCGATATTATTGTCCAGTCAATTGATAAAAGAATTTTCATACCCTACAGGTGGATGCATAGGCATTCCAATACGTAATGGATCCGATTGATCAGTAGTGGTTGACGTTGTATTGGTCTGTGTAGTAGTAGATTTGTTTTGGCCTTGATAAACCTTAAAATATATTTTAATTACATTTGGAAGTTCAATAAACGACAACTTACTGGTTCCAATAATTCTCTGCGGTACCTATCTGCCAGTTGAGAAGCAGAAGGTATCATCTTTGTAACGGAACCCCTAATGTCGTTCACAATCTCCTCAGGTGAGAGGCATATATTGGAAACTTTACGAGTTTTTACATTCAGCAAAGTAATAATTAAAGAATCCTCAGTTCTCAAACCTAGTAAAATGTACAGTTGCTTGTCGTAAATGTAACGAAGAGCATAGTTATTCTCATCTATATTCCAATTATCCGGCAGCAATTCGGAACCTGAAACTTCTTCATCCTCCATCAAAATTTTCTACGTAAAAAAAAGAAACAATAAAAGCAGTCAAGGATAATATGGGAATACCCAAACTCACATCTTCCCCCAAACCAATGCAGCGAAATTGCGAATACTTAGTTAAAACGAAATGAGCTAAAGCAATGAGCAAGTCATCTTTTTTATTGATATCCTTCTCTATGGTTTTATACAACAAATCCCAACCGTAAAAATAATCTCCTGGATTTGACATTTCTTCTTAAAAATTGTATTGTTGTCCTTTTATGTTATACAATTTTTTGTGGAGTTCGTTCTTTTCAAACCGTCTTTTTACGTTTCTATTCTCTTTTGTATTTTGCAATCAACTGACAGCAGTTGGTTTGAAGGTTTTTTAAATAAATTTACAATTTTTTCACGGGAATTTTCAAATTTTTAATTTTACATTAAAGGGATGGGAATAATTTTGTGTTACGACATCCCTGCGTTTTTACTCGTTTTCAATCGAAATGAAGAAATTTATCGAAAATTTTTCAAATACATTGTTCTGATAGTTTCTCATTTCGTGTTTTTAAATTTGTATAACATAGTTTTTAGAATCAGATATTGAAGTTTTCTTTGTAAGTTAAAAAAAAGAGAAGAATCAGAATGAAGGAAAAATTTCAATGAATAAAATCAAATTTAAAAAACGGACCTACAGCACTATTTGTAGATATTTTGAAGTAAGAATATAGAGAATAAGCTTCGAACAAATAAAAAAATTATATTAGTTTGTAATCGAACCTTTTGTGTCCACGGCTCCTATACGTTTCAAAAAAATTCTTCCCATCCCTTCAATGTAAAATTTGAAAATTCCCGTGAAAAAATTGTAAATTTATTTAAAAAACCTTCAAACCAACTGCTGTCAGTTGATTGCAAAATACAAAAGAGAATAGAAACGTAAAAAGACGGTTTGAAAAGAACGAACTCCACAAAAAATTGTATAACATAAAAGGACAACAATACAATTTTTAAGAAGAAATGTCAAATCCAGGAGATTATTTTTACGGTTGGGATTTGTTGTATAAAACCATAGAGAAGGATATCAATAAAAAAGATGACTTGCTCATTGCTTTAGCTCATTTCGTTTTAACTAAGTATTCGCAATTTCGCTGCATTGGTTTGGGGGAAGATGTGAGTTTGGGTATTCCCATATTATCCTTGACTGCTTTTATTGTTTCTTTTTTTTACGTAGAAAATTTTGATGGAGGATGAAGAAGTTTCAGGTTCCGAATTGCTGCCGGATAATTGGAATATAGATGAGAATAACTATGCTCTTCGTTACATTTACGACAAGCAACTGTACATTTTACTAGGTTTGAGAACTGAGGATTCGTTAATTATTACTTTGCTGAATGTAAAAACTCGTAAAGTTTCCAATATATGCCTCTCACCTGAGGAGATTGTGAACGACATTAGGGGTTCCGTTACAAAGATGATACCTTCTGCTTCTCAACTGGCAGATAGGTACCGCAGAGAATTATTGGAACCAGTAAGTTGTCGTTTATTGAACTACCAAATGTAATTAAAATATATTTTAAGGTTTATCAAGGCCAAAACAAATCTACTACTACACAGACCAATACAACGTCAACCACTACTGATCAATCGGATCCATTACGTATTGGAATGCCTATGCATCCACCTGTAGGGTATGAAAATTCTTTTATCAATTGACTGGACAATAATATCGGGTATTCTCGACCATTTCCTCATCTCTTTCTTTAAAATATCAACTCAGACAATATCATCCAGTTGGAGTGGAGCCGCGACCATTCGGTTTCCCGGAAGTGGGTCGAGGCGATTTAGATCCCTTAGGACGTGGAGGTCATGGTAATTTATTTCCCTTCCCTTCGCACCCCGAATTCCGCGTCGGCCCTGGAAGCAGTGGCGGCATGCAACCACGTTTCGATCCCTACGGACCACAACCCGAACGAAACCTTCGCCCAAATCCGAATCCAGACCATTTACAACCACCTAATTTTGGTGGCGATTATTTTATGTAAATACTAATGGGGAAACATACGATTGGTCTGTGCTTAATTTTAAAACCGTATTTCTTCAATAGAAATTTGCTTGAAAGAATAAATAAATTATATTTTTTTATATCAATAAAATACGTTACAATATTAGAAAAACTTGAAATACTAAACATAACGTCAAGATAATGTGAGATGAAAATCTTGTGGCGGATTTCGATTCCCTTAACGAAGCCAAATCGAATGATATTTCTTATTTAAATTGTAAAGTGTTGCCATTAATTACTGTTGTTACATGTTACTCAGAATATTCAAATATTAAAGCCCAAATCGAACCTTTCTAACGGAAAAAGAAAAATTTGAAATATATGAAAAGTTGGTTATGTTTATGGTTCTCTTGAATGCTTATCTCAGATTTGAATGGGTTTCTGATGAAAGAACGACAATGTAAGCGCATTAAAGAAGAACAATTACTACTCAAAACAACAGGAAATTATTGCTGACGGTACTGGTGTTATTTCGTTAAATTTAAAAACTAAACAATAAGGATTCTTCGTTTATAGAATGCGACTGTTCGTTCGATTTATTTGGATTCCGCGCAGACTTAGGTTAACGCGTGATCAGTGATGATATAGATTGCCTGTTTGTTTGGCATAAATAATGTACTGATGTGAACGTTACCTTGAAATTTCTGTTTTTGTTTAGCATTGCGGTTATTACAGGCACACTGGATTAGTAATTTAATTTTTTACGATTTCATAGCTATTTTTCACAGTTATTTTAGTGCTATACAATTGATTCCTTATATTGTAATCTAACAGACAGCACACTTCGTTACTTATTCTAACCTTGTATCTCAATTTTAATTTAGTTCTAGTTTTAGTTTTATTAATGTATAATTTAATTATTATATGTGATATTAAAAATAAAATAAGATGATTTAAGAAAATAAATGAAAACGGGAAAAATGCACTTCATGAAATCAATATATTTACGTTGCGGACGTAAGAACACGCAGGAAACAACTGCGACCAAAACTAATTGGTAACTTTATTAGTTAACACATGAGCTATCCATTCATGATTTACTGACTTCTTAGAAGAAGAAGATAAAAAAAAAAAAATAAGTAAACGGTAATTAAGGGTGAATGTTCGAATCATAGAAGAAGAATTCCGCAACATTGCCATTTGTAGTTAAGGGCCAAGAAAAAACAAAAGTTTTTTGTGTTTCTATAGTTAATCAAATAGAATAAGAAATTGCTAGGCGCAATGAACGATTTTCTATGGTCTCTAACATTATGCCTTCTATTCCTAATCTACTCGTTACCATTGTTCGTTCGTGTATATGGCACCACACAAATGGTTATCGATGAGGAATTTCATTTGAAGCAAGGCTTACATTTCTGTAACAAGCGTTTTGATGTCGTATGTAAATTTGTTAACGTATCCATTTATAAAATTAAATCTATATAATGTGTCTCTCGCTTGTAGTGGGATAATAAAATCACAACATTCCCTGGATTATACTTGTTTTCGTTGATTTTATATCCATTCAATTTTTGCTCTGTGCTCGGATTACGTTTAATCTCTTTGGTGGCTGCCGCGGTGAATGTTATCCTATTTTATATGATTAGAAGGTCGCAACTGGAGAAATTTAGAATAGGCAATAACACAATGGCTGCCTTAGAGGCTTTTACCATCGCTGCATTGCCACCGTTATATTTTTTCAGTCATTTATACTATACCGATACACTGTCGTTAACCATGGTCTTGGTATTTTATCTGTACTGGCAAAAAGAGAACCATTTGCAAGCTGCTGTTTTTGGTAAGTCTGACACTTACTTGAAACAAATGATATGAAGTTTAATAGGAAACTTCCTGAGCTTTTTACAATTTTAGCGGCTGCTAGTGTTCTACTGAGGCAAACTAATGTGATATGGGTGGGAATGGCCTGTGCTTGTACAGCTTTGGATATTATTGTCAGTGATTATGCTTGCTTTAAAAAAATACCAAGACGTTCTGTTAACATTTTACAGGCAAAAGTAAGATAAATTTTTTTAAAGAAATAATGGTTTTAAACTTATTCAACAATAATGCATTGTTTATTTAGCTATGGTTGGAGCTATTTAAGAATTTTAAATTATTCTTCAAATGCGTTTGGGATGTATTAAAGCAGTGCTCTTTTTATATAATAATTATTTTACCATTTGTGGGTTTCGTGTTTTTGAATAAATCCATTGTCTTGGGCGATAAAAGGGCTCATGTTGCTGCTTTGCATATACCACAAGTAACTAAAAAAAAAAAATATTGAGTAATTCGTCTAAATTGAATTGTTATTTTTTTATTTTTTTTCATTTTCAGCTTTTCTATTTTGCTACATTTACCTGCATCTTCGCCATAACGAATACTTCACAAAGAATAGAAATAGCTTTACGTACCATTTTACATCGCAAGCTTACCTTTGTTTGCCTTTTGATCATTTCACTTATTATTATCAAATATAACACTTTGGTCCATCCGTATTTATTAGCTGACAATCGTCATTACACATTCTATATATGGCAACGTTTTTATGGCCGTTACATTTGGTTCAAATATGCGATGTGTCCAATCTATGTGATATGTTTAACTATCATTTACCAAAGTATAGAGCATTTAAATAGAAATTTCACAATAATGTTTTACGTTGCTGTATTTTTGTCGTTGTGCTTCCAACGTCTGCTGGAAGTACGTTATTTCCTTATACCGTTTGTATTGTTTCGTTTGCATATCAAACCAAATATTAGAAGTCGTATACCTCAGTGGTTAGAACTGAGTATATATGTGGCAATAAATGCTTTAACATTTTACATATTTTTCACTAAAGAAATCAGATGGAAAGATTATAAAGAACCGCAAAGAATTATATGGTAAGATTCAAGATTTGTTCCGCGCATCTATGAAATTGAAATGTATACTTACTATTTGTTCAGATGTATTCATATACAATTAATGATTTTATACGAAAATGAGATAAATAAAAGTGAAATCTGTCTCGAGATTTCTTACGATTTTATTGATAGACTTTCAAACATGAATAGAGTAAAATTAATAGTAATTTACACTTAATAATTAAAATTTTTATTAATGAAGAAAACAAAATGCATACATTTTTTTTTTTTAAATGAATATCGTATATGTAATTTAACGCCATTACATTGACGAGCGTCGAGTAGAGAAAGGATAAAATATTTTTATTTATTTATACTTCTATAAATCATTGGAGCCGAACGGTCGTTTGTGGTAGTATGACGCAATTTCACAGTGGCAAACTGCGAAGCTCTGTGAAAAAAATTATATTGCTTATCATTTGATAAGTGCATTATAATGTTTTCTTTTTTGTTACATTTTCAATGGCGCCAGAAAAGGACTACAACGAAACATAATAATAGCTGAATACAAACAACAATATAATGGGTAAAAACAAGAAAATTTAGGGCTTTGAAAAAAACTACATTAACTTTTATTATATGCACCATCCTTGCTAATATAAATAAATGTGAAAACGAAAGAAAAGCAAAAATAAAAATTTAAATCTATGGTATCTTTTACTAAACAACTTTCCAAAAAAAAAAAACAGAGGCACTACAACAAAAAGTTTCAAAATATTTCGCTTTCTTTAAAAATTTAATGAACGATATGAAGGATGATTATAAACATATATAATTAAACAGTTATAGAAATCAATACAACCTTAAAAAAAAAGCGAAAGTATATATAAAAACTTAACACTTAAGATATATTTTACCCAAAACGACTTACTCTTTCCGTTTCAACGTATGTATGGCATGAACTCATAGCTGAGCATAGGACTCTCAATCTGAAAAGCTTTTATCATTTGGAATTTTTGACAAAAAATTTCTACACAAAAATTTGTCCGCCCGATTATGGCTTCGTTGTATTTTTCTGCTATACAAAGTTGATGACAAAACTGGGAAAGTACAAAGGTAGATTAACGATTTATATAGAGTTAAAGTTATTAAATTTTTCAATCCGTCTCTTGAGTGAAGAGAATTTTGATTTTTTTTACGTCCCCCCTCTCAAATTCTTCGGAAAAGTTTTGTAAAGAATCTAATGCAAAGTCGGGAATTGTCGCCCTTCCACTCCTCTTGAATGTCCGAACGTATTATTAATGAAAGCATATGCGTCTGAGCACATAAACCTTATATACATGTAGATTCTGCCAAAAAAGGGAAAGAAAACGCTATAGAGGGCGTGATAGCAGGCAGCAATTTCATTGCAAATCTATTTAAGAATTGAGTACGCATTTTGAAGAAGAGTATATATTTATTGGCCATATGAGTACATCAATGCGTAGACTGTTATAGATTGAATAGAACAGCTACGCTAGCAGACTGCCTTAAGCTATACATATATATATATATACATATAAATATTCCGTGGACTTTATAATTCATTATGGCGTTTAGTTTAATTGAAACCAATTTTGTATACGCTTTAGTTGCTCGTTTTTTTTTTTTTTCTATTCTTACATTATGTCTTTCATCGGCCTGTCAGATGTGTGAGTCAAATGCAATTCTTCAAAATTTGGAATACAATACATATATGGAAACGCATACCATATAAACTTAAACGGAAAGTTTTCTACAATATATGTATGTACATAGAATCGACTGATTAATTATGTAGCAATTTAAACGCAACAAAGAGAAAAGGTTTTACTTCTGCCGCAGTAATAGACTTTACAAATTATGGTTTATTCAATTTCTGTTTTTTTTTTTTTTTTTTACTTCATTTTGTTCGTCTTTTGATTTTGTGGTATATTATCTTGTTGATCCCAGAAATCATACCATGGCCCATATGTTTTACCGTAATGTTCATCCCTTTTATTGTTTCCATTAATATTATTGATTTTCGATTGACTTTGCGTCAGATTATTGGATGATCTTTCCAGTGTCATACTAGCACTTGACTTCATAAGTCTTGTTCGAGGCAATATCGTGGCCGTTGGTGTAGTTATTATATTACTACCTTGCCTTGTTAAAGTATTATTATAACGTTCTTGATCTTGTTGATCGTACATTTGTTTATGTACTGAACGGTTTCTTTCACCATCACCGTGATGTAATTTTTGTTTTTGCTTGGCATTTGAATTGGCCGCTGTGGCGGTAGTGGAAGTGGTAGTCGAAGTTGTCGCCCGAAACGTTTGAAATTCCATTTGATGTTCCTGCATTTGCAAAGCTCTTCGGTGTTTTTCATCCTTACGCACCAAATGATCATTAATTACTATACAATCATAGGGATCGGAACTTGTGGATTTGATATCCGGTTCATCTGATTCCTCTTCACTTGTATAGTATTGTTTCAAAATATCCTTTCTTTTAACCGTTTTCATTATAATTCCTTCTCCCGTTCCGTTATTATCAAAGAAATTATTAACATCACTCATTTTTAAGGTGCCATTATCTAATTCACTTTCACCTGCCTCACTTTCTGTAGAAGGGAACGCTTCTTCCGATTTATGTCGATTTTGTGATGAGACAAGCCCTTGCCTAACCTGATTGTTGCCGTTCGTATGATGTTGTGTGCTTTTCATATCGTACGATTTCTTATGATTCCCGAGATTCAATCGAGAATTTTGTTTCGATTTATTTTCCATAATCGAATTTCTGTTATTTAAGTGTGATTGCTTGTATTGAAGTTGTTGCTGCTGCTGCTGCTGCTGTTGTTGTTGTTGTTGCTGCTGATCATGCATCATATTATTTTCACGGTAGTCTGCTTTTTGTCCCCTTTTTAAAGTACTCAAACGTTCATTCTCGGCTGGATTTTCTATATCAATCTCAATCGTTTTCATAATTTTCATACGCGACTTGGGCGTAAATCCCGTTGAATTTCTCGCGTGCTGCACTATTACTGGCTCCCTAGACATTGGCGTCATACCGTAAATATTTTCCTCATCATCATACATTTCTAAACTGGTAATGCTGTCCTTTCTCTGCGGCTGGTTCTCTTGGGACGGGCTCGACAGTATTGAATTACTTTTGGTCAGCGTGTCCGTTTTGTCCATTTCACGTTCACTTTCCATTTTACTGCTAGTCGTGCGATAGCCTTCATCACGTAACTCTTCTACGTTGCGGGCAGTGACTAAATCACGATGCTGCCATAAAGACATGCCGGCCAAAATGTCATCACCACGACCACCGCCAAATTTCCAAAATGACTTTGTACGTTTTATACCTCCACTGCTCGAAGCCTGTAATAGCTCGTCATCACTAGCTATTAAATCATATTTCATCATTTTTCTGTTACTGCCGCGATTCAAGGTCTTAAAGCTTTTGTTGTCATCAATTTGACTGTCAATGCTGCTGCGGAAATTACGGCTTAATGTCCAAGAAGCAATTTCACGATTTGCAGCATGACTGGTAGTGGTATCGGCTCTACGTCTACTGACGTAACGTTTAGGTTAAAGTTTGAGTTGTGATGTTTAGCATTTATATACGCAAGGATAGGTTAGGGACAAAGAAGTGGTGATGCCATGAATATGTAAAGTATATGAAAATAAAGTTAAAGCAAAAAAATAATGAAAAAAAAACATAAAAAGAAAATTTGAACAAAACGTTAATCACATAAAATGAACTCAGTGGATCTGAATGAAAATCGATCGGTAAGTCAATACAAGGGGAGATCCTCTTCCAGCGTTTCAGTTTCATATTCTCTTCTGAGACTTACCGTATTGGTACACGGCTGCTTGGCTGCTCATCGTCCGAATAATCGATTTCAGGTTGTGGTGGCGGCTCATTAGCGAAACCACTATCGTTGCTGCTATGCAATGATGTTTTAGCCGCAGTGGCGCCAGTAGAGGACTTCATTTGATTCATATTTGTCTGTTGACGCGTCAGAAATAAACGATTCTTTAATAAAAAAACAATATTTATCTTTTAAAAGGAGGGTTCTTTTAATCTTGAACCCCATAACTCACATGTGAAGGTCCCTGCTGTTGGCCATTTTGTATTTTTTGCTTACGTCTTTCAATGGCAGAATTGGCTCCGTTTGACGCACAGAAACTCTGGGAAGAATTTAACATACGTGTTGAATTCTGAGCAGAAGGCACTGGCGCTGGAAGAGTAGGCGGAGGTCCTGGTCTCGGATTATTGCCAGTGGTAGGGGGACGATACTAAGTGCAGAAGAATAATAAAAAATAAAATCAATTCGCGATGAGTTTATTAAATTTAATAATATTGAAATAATTGCTCACTCACTTTCTTCTGTTGACGATAGGTATCACCAAACATACGTGTAGGCGATGTCTCGTCTGCTCTATCCCTTCTATAAGATACATCATTGTCTATGCCGTTGTCATGATGATGCTCTGTATCTCGATATTGATGTTCTTGGTAGCTTGAACGTATACTTGAGCCATTACGCTCGTAATGGACATTATCGTAACGTTCATGATGACGTTCCGATTTCATTGATTTATTATCATTCATTAATTCGGTGTTAGTGTAAGAAACTGGGAACCAGCCAAACATTTGTGTACGCAAATTTTCGCCAAATTGCCAACCTTTGGCTTTGCCACCTACCAGTGCTATACGATCGCCCTCTTCCAAAAGTAATTGATTTTCCCCGGATGGCATATAGGCATACAAGGCTTTGACCACGGGACGCTGATCCCAGTGACCGCCATCGTGATCGCTTACTGAAAGGTAAAGATAGATTGATAGAGATAGAGAGAGAGAGAGAGAGAGGGAGAGAGAGCTTAATAAGAGGGAGAAAAATTAAGTAAAAATGCACTAATTTTAATAATTAAGTCGCCAAGGCAGATGAACTTACCTGTTTTAGAGTACTCATCTTTCGAATGCAGTTTCTCTCGCTCCTCCTCCTTCTCTTTCTGTTTCGATTTCTCCGCTCTTTACCTATAACTGACAAGTAAGAAGGGAACGAAGCTCGAAACAGAAAGAGATGTGGCGAGAGAGGGCGAAACTGTACAAATTTCCTACCAATTCATTACCCTATATATTTTTATTATTAATAGTTCAATTGTCGATAAGTCGATCGGCGCGTTTGTAAATGCTTTATAGTTACGTTATAGAATAAGTTGGGTAACTTACCAGTCATGGATGTTGTTGGCACAATAGAGCTGCTCAAATTGAAATCAGATTTGGCGCGTGGCAGTGAATTTTGTGTATAAGATATGTTCGCCTCATGCATTGTACGCATATCACCGTACGGTGCGTCAATGCTTCGCGATTTTTTCAATTGATTAGATGTGGCAGCATTGCCATGAAAATCTTCTGAATCTTTAAGGCGCTCCTATGTAACGTCGATTTTAATTTAATATTATATAATTTTAATAAGTTACACGAAGAAGAAGCATATCTTTGAAGCTAGCACTTACCAAACGTTTGTTGCCTAGCTGCATGCCATTACCGTCATAGACAGAAGCAGGTAGAATCTCACGCGAAGCAGCAATTTCCTGCCAATTTTCTAAATTATTATCAATTATGGATTTGCCAGTGGTATGATAAGCCATCCAGTGTTTCGCTATCGAACATTGACGTTCCAATACAAAACCATAACGACGACGTTCTTGTTGCAAGGCCTACGTAAGGCAAGATAATAGAAAACAATAAATAATTATGTCAAAAAAAAAAAAAGGAGGGACGGATAGGATACATACGTTTTTATAACTTTGTTCGCAGAAAGCATCCAATTTCTTCTTTTGGTCTTCCAATAATTGCAAATTCTAATGCGAATAATAAATGAAGAGGAAGGAGATCATAAATAATATTTAGGTTAAGTTAAATTAGTTCATGTGGGATGAGATGATGTTACCCTTAATTCTTTTTCTGTATTTTCTGGACTGGATTTTTTCTTGCGTTGTTTTTTCATAGTTGACATGGCCTTTTGATAGCTTTCCATGCGCACCTTATGCTGTTGCAAGAATTTCTTTTGCTCATGTTGCACCACTTTGGTATCCTTCTCTAAATTCGTTTCTAATGGCACTAACAGATCCACATAGAATGCTTTTAACTGTATAAATAATTAATTTAATTAATTATTTTAAATTATAAAAAAATAAAAATGAATTAATTTTATTAATTAATTACTTACAATATTCATTTGTTGCTCTTGTATTTCTTTATAAACACTAACAACATTCAATAAAGCCACTCCTTTGAAAAATAAATTAATGAAAACAAAACATCAACAAATTACAAAAATACGTAATTAAGTTAATATTAAAATAATTATGTGCGCAGATATAAGCTGATAAGTAGGCGAATAAATGGTATTTGTTTTTGTGTTTTTTTTTTTTTCACTTTTTTTTTCATTTTCTTTTCCTCTCTTCTATATTAAATAAAATCTTTTCTATTACCAATATCGTTGGTTCCACTGTGTTGCGCATTCATAGCAATTTTAGCTAAAGCTTCATTAAATAAACGCGCCGCTGTAGCTGCACCTGCATTAAAAATAATTTCGAAAGTAATATTTAAAGTGGTTTTTTTTTTTTTTTTTTTTTTTTAAATACATAAACTTATAAGGACTTACCGTGAAGAGATTTCAAGTAACCCTTACCGGCCGTTATTAATTGTCTAGCTCCCGGATTAAATTTCTCTAAAATATTCTGGAAAAAAGAAAAGCAATAGTCTTTAGGAATTCAGAATTCAGTGTCAAAAAAAAGCAATTAAAAAATTTAATATGATTAATTAAATAACAAAGAGTTTGCATCCGCTGAACATTGTTGTTCAGCTTATGGTCTGCAGATCACAGGCGAAAAAAGCAAAATACAATCCGCTGACCAATCGTTAACATGTTACATGAATGGTGAATACCCCCTAACCGATTAGTCATAATATAAAAAGGGTGCAAGTCTTAAAGGCTCCGAGGAAACTTTACTATATCGAATATGAGTGATTTTGATTGAGAAGCGTTTGCAATTTTTTTTGGCAAACTCATTGCACCATCACTGCAGAATTGCTGAGATTTTTAGTCGAAAAACAACAACATAATGATCTTTTTGGAGGTCGGGGCGTCGTTTGACCCTAGCTTTGGGACATTAAGAGCATTTTATATGCTCGGGTATTGTTGAGTGAAGCGATCGTTGATCTCGTCAAAAGTGGTTTCGTTTCGCTTCAGCAATGACTGGCGGATGGAAACACAATCTTATCGGGATTTTTATTGTATTCAACTGTATTATGGAAGCAGTTCAAAAATGTTTTTGATTAACTTTTACTTCCGTAGCAATGTCATGTCATATGACGACATGAATCGGTCTTTCTTAAGGTTTTGAGAAATTTCATTGAGTTTGCTAACAATCGAACAAGCAGAGCGCTTTGCGCATCTAATATCGACAGTTTTCAATGATAAACGAGCAAATTATTTGCGTGCTGCTATTTTCCACTATCTCACGAAACGTTATCGCGTCAATTGACGCAATTGCAATTCTTAGGTCTATAGTCGCCAGTCCACATGCACTATAGTATAACTTGATAGGTTTCGCATTGGGAAAATTCAAGTCCAGTTATCTGGTGAAAAGGTCAACAATTTTTCTTTTTACCTCCCGAGCGATATTTACCTGTCATAAAAATAACTGTATCGAAAAGAGTATTCAGATAATTCATTGAAATGAAATATGATTTGAAACATTAGTTTTATTATCTATTATTATTATTATTATTAATTTCCCCAGAGAAATAAATTCTAAGACTAAAGTCTTAAAAGCCCTAGCATCTAAGGCTATCGGCTTTTATTAAAAATTCTAACGCACTTGAGAATCGAACCCACGGCCATTGGGTTGCTAGTCGAGATTCCTCGCCTTCGGCCACTCAGGCGGATTTTATTATTTAATTGAGGCTGAAGTATGGCAATTGTTGAGCGGAAGAGCATCAACAAGGCTTTATGGATTAAGAAGAGGAGAAAGAAGAAGAAACAAGGAGACATCCGGATGGATAGACGGACATGCTTAAATCGATTCAGAATTCGATGCTGATCAAAAATATATGCACTGTGAGGGGTCTCTGATTCTTCCTTTTGGGCGTTGCAATTGTTTTGAGTGACAAAATGAATATACCTTTCATTCTTCAGTGATGGGTACAAACACGAGAAGAACAAGATATTGAGAGGTTACAAGAGACATTTTCCTTCATTATGACTTGAATATAAAATTCGCAGCTGGTTACGTAGCTCTCTATTAATGAATTAGTTAAATTTAACAGCAGAAGGCGTTTACACAGCTAATAGCACTGTAAAAGGTTAGCCTTCTTCCATAATTTTTTTGTGATGCGCAAATACGCAAAAACGCTCACAGAGTAATAATACCCGGAGAAGTTACCTGCGAAAAGTTTTTTTATCATAAAAAATTTTTTCTATTCATTTTCACTGTTAGTTAGTAAATCGCAGGACCATAAAAATGCTCTGCCGTGTCCGAATAGTTTTTCTTTGAAAATTTTTCATTAGAGGGTGTCGTTTTTGGATGATTCCATAGTACATCTGATTTCTTTTTACGCGATAGATACGTTTCCAAAAAATTCGTGTAAAAAAAGTCGTGTAAAATATCATGCAAAAAAATATATTCGCTAAATGGAAAAATGGTAGTAATTCAAAAATTGTCGTTACAGTTCACTTAAGAATTTTTTTCGTGCTTACACATTAAATATATTTTAAAAAATAAATTATACTTTAATTGAATTTGTTAAAAATTTGTTAGCGCGAAATTACAATGTGTGTCTGTGAGCAGTGAGAATGAAAATATTCGTAAACAAAATTCATAGAATATTTAGAATCGCGTTAAATGAAAACATATCGCGTGAAAAGAGAATTTTTTCTTTTTAACTCGTGCTAAATCAAATACACTCAAACCTGTTTTTGTGCGGTCTTTTTTTATGCGCTTTTTTTTGTGCGATTCTTTTTGTGCGATTCTTTTTTTGTGCGGTATATCAATATCGACACATTGATTTCGCCGAGAGGTTAGGTCAATCTGAACTGTGTTGGCTCACTTTTCTTTGCTATCAGTGCGTATGTACACATTGCAACAGCCATTTTCATACCTATTGCATCAGCCTATTTCATTAGGCATGCTCAATGTTCTTATGCATATATTGCATCAGCCAATTTCAGCCTTGTTTAAAATTAGAAATTAAAATTTTTTTAAATGTTTCAATGTGTAATTTAATTATTTATTTTGTTTGGAAAGCACTTTCTTGCTATTTCGTGAAGCTTTGACATATTTTCTAAGTGAGACTTTTTTTAAGCGGTCCCTCTCTACCGCATAAAAAAAATTTTATTTAATATGCTGTGAAAAATTATTTCTTATAGCTATTTATGAACTTATTGAATATTTTTTTTTTGTGCGGTTTTTTTTCTGCGGTCCCTATCTACCGCACAAAAACAGGTTTGACTGTATCGTGTAAAAAAAATCGGATAAAAAAATTTAGGTTTATTTGTATAAGAATAACAAGAAACCGGTCAAATCCATTCAATATCATCGAGAATTGAAATTTTATTTGTTGTGTGTGTTATTTATTTATTTTTTTTTTTAAGAAAAGTTGTTGGGTATGAAAGATTCGGCCGCAACTGAATATAACTTCCTTACTTCGTTCTTGTCATTCTTGTATTCGGAAAATTGCTGGTACGACGCATAAGAATAAGTGATAATAATAATAAACATCTCGTTACGTAAGGACTTTGCACTGCTTGGTAACAATATTTGTAGCACGCTATCATTAAATAATGTTACCGCACGTTTCGCTCTTCCTATTATTAAAGAGTAGCTCCAGTTAATTAGCTGTTGTTGATAATGTCATTATTAACAGTTTCGCCCGGTAGTAGAAGCTCATAATAGCTACTTCAATATGATAGATTTCAGTAACACTATCCAAAAGTTCTTTTGTCTGACACAAAGACCGGCTTTGCTAAAGGCTAAAATATCCACCAATGGAAGTCTACTTACCATTATTAATTCAAAATGTAGTTATAAAGTAATGTGAGTTAGATATTTGAATATGCAATGAATGATAAAAGTTTGCGTACACGTTTTAAGGGAATATTTCTAATCATTGCCTACGTAGCGAGGAAAATTCGAAGCAAGAAAATGTTCCATCGAATATATCGCAGTAACTTTTTGTTAACCGAAAAATATATCGATTTTGAAAATATTAAGCCTCAGAAGATTATGTCATTTATTTTATTACTGCAGTCGAAGTTACAAAGAGTTTATGTATATTTTTAAGATTGATCCGCCAAACGTACTGGGAGTGTATACGTTCGGCAGTGTATATCCTCAAACCAATTGCTGATCTGGATTATTGAAATTGCCTATAAAACGACTGTATATTCCCTGAGAAAAAAATGCATATTCGTTTCATTTATGTCACTTAATTGTCCGAATAAGATCGCGTATATAAAGTCTGTACGTGTTATGTTATAGATTGAACTGAATACTCTTCCTGACAACTAAATAGAAAATTGCCAATGCATTCTATTATAAAATACCATAATCCATTTAAAAATTGTGAATGTGACTGCGATTTAAAGTATTTTTGATTCTAATTTGAATCTAATTTAAGGAGACGTGTGTATAATTAATTGCACGCATAAAAAGAGTGCAGAAGTGCATCAATCTGAAATTTTGAACGTTTCCAGTCACATTTCATTTTTACTTGCCGAATATCATTGGAATTTGCTTTAATTCAATTTGAATTGCTTATCATTAAATACCCTACCTGCACCACTTCTGCCAACACACAGGTTTTTCGAAATAAGACGGTATATGGGAAGTGGTCGAAAAAGCGATCTGATCCGAACCATTTCGAATACCGTTCGTCCTTAGATTAAAATATGTCGGCCTCGCGGCTTGTAGTCTGAAAACAGGAATCTAAGACGGAAAGATAAGCAAACAAGTGTAGATCGATTCAAAATCATTTTTTTCGATTTTTCGATTCCGAAATTCGTATATCCGTCTTTTAGTCGTGTATATTTTTGTGGGAAAGTTAGGTTCATCTCCACTAACTTACTTATATCCTTCCATCACAGATGATAGGGAATATAAAAGGTACAAAGGGGGTATTAGAAGAATCTGAGCCGTTTCTTCTAAGCATTTCTAGGCATTAGAAACGATATCAAAAAGATCAATAATACACTGAAATAGGGTTGGAATTATTTCCTAACACAATTTAAAACTCGTTGTAAAAGTAACCTCGATTCATCTATTTTAATAGACCTTATACTATTTACACATATAGGGGCGTATTAAGTTTTGCCGATATATGCAAGATCAAGAATGAATTGAGGGAAACCCCAATTTTCATGACATGAATGGATTTAGATTTGGTTTGCAAATCCATTCTATGTACAGTTGTATGTCTATTTATGAGTATATCGCAATTTTCGAGAAAAATTTTGATGGAAATAATTGCACTCACACCCACTTTCAACTCAAGGACGAACTAAATTTGAAAATCGTACGCATTAGATCGCACCATTTCTCTAACTACTTCACATATGACGCTGTTCGTTTAAAAAGTTATTATATATAAAAACATATTTAATATAATGAAAAAATTATTCTCGGGAAATAATGGTTTGGAACACTAAATGAATGCACGAAATTTAAATTTTTGATAGCCA